TGTCACTCGTAGTGACTGAGAACTCTTTACTGTAGTGGTGTCACTCGTAGTGACTGAGAACTCTTTACTGTAGTGGTGTCACTCGTAGTGACTGAGAACCCTTTACTGTAGTGGTGTCACTTGTAGTGACTGAGAAACCTTTACTGTAGTGGTGTCAGTTGTAGTGACTGAGAAACCTTTACTGTAGTGGTGTCACTCGTAGTGACTGAGAACCCTTTATTGTAGTGGTCTACTTATTTTGATGCGATGTTTCTTGGCCTTTGAGGAATGCTGTTAGTTTGGAAAAATATTTTAAGTATTTGAAATCGTGTGGAATTTTTTGAAGCGCCCGTACACGTTACTTTAACACGTGTGCTAGTATTTTCCCTTTAAACTAAGCTCTCCTGCAACTCGGCATGTTCTCACAACACTATGGATTAAGCCAGATAAAAGCGAAGTTTGGCCTTCCTGCTGCGATTGGTGTTATTCTTTCTAGTTTCTGGCTTTCAGGAAGTTGTCTTTTATAGCAATGTATAACAGGTAGATGGGGCAGCGTCACAGATCACAAGATAAAGTAAAAATAATCAAGAATGTTGGCCCTGTATATCAAAGGTCAAAACTGAAAACTCAAAGACAATTAAACGTGCAATAAGCTGTAGACATACCGCTGTGCCATTGGGGGTGGGGTGGGGAGCATACACATCATTAAACAAACACATGTCTATCTCACACATTCACCAATGTACAATAATTGTACTACATGACGTCAAAACTTAGCCCAAACGTTTACAAAAATGAAAGATGCTTACGGTTTTAGATGGGTAGCATAGCCAATTCAACTCATCAGGCTCGAACTTTCATTTTCTTACTGTTTTGTCATAGCATCTTGTCCACTGAATGATGTGCTTACCTATTTGCTGAAGCACAAATTCATGCACTCAGTTTGACTATAAGTTTGGTTATGTACCAGTTAGATTTACAAAATCTGGGCCCAAGAGTCATGCCCCTTTTGACAGTTTTCTATAACTGTAACACCTGTTAGATTTACACAACATGGGCAGTTTGTTTATAAGTTTGACACCTACCAGTCAAGTTTAACATCATGAGCCTAGGAGTTATCTCTATCACTACAGTTTGTCAATAAATTGGACACCTACCAGTCAGATTTAACATCTCTACAGTCTGTCTATAAGTTTGACACCTACCAGTCAAGTTTAACATCATGAGCCTAGGAGTTATCCTTGTCACTACAGTTTGTTTTTAGGTTTGACACATACCAGCCATATTTAACATCATGAGTCTAGGAGTTATCTCTATCACTACAGTTTGTCAATAAATTGGACACCTACCAGTCAGATTTAACATCTCTACAGTTTGTCTATAAGTTTGACACCTACCAGTCATATTTAACATCTCTACAGTTTGTCTATAAGTTTGACACCTTCCAGTCATATTTAACATCTCTACAGTTTCTCTATAAGTTTGACACCTACCAGTCATATTTAACATCTCTACAGTTTGTCTATAAGTTGGACACCTACCAGTCAGATTTATATATGATGAGACTATCCCTTAACATTTATTACAAGTTGTTACTACATGAAAGTTTCGGTAAGAATTACTCAGCTTTATATCTCACTCCCGCAGGCTTCATGTTCATAAATCTCCTACATTTGTTATGGTGTTTTTTGTTTTTTTTTACAGTTCTGATTAAGTCACTGCTGTTTCTGAACTGCAAAATTTTTATACAGTTTTCAGAAAGGCTCATCAAATATACGTTTTCAATTAAATGTTTTAGAGTACGGTACGTGTGACGAAATTTGAATTATTTATGAACAAACTATACGGATGATCTTGTATATTTTCATATTGTATAAAAAAAATACAATGATGGAACAAGAATCACACACACACACACCAATAACCACACGTGTGTATGTGTGCATCTTTACAAAAAATTCAGGAAGCACCCGGTCTACTGTCTGTGGGTGATAATGCCTATATAGGTCAAACGCTGTGAGAAGAAACGTCCGGTCAAGTGCGCCTGTAAAAATGATAACTCCCCTGCACGTAGGAATACAAGCTCCATCCTGAAGCGTCAGAGCAAATTCAAATTCTTGTCTTTCCACCACAAATATTCTGTAGGTTTTAGAGCATAAATATCTTAAACATAGGGTATGAATATCTTAAACAAACTCGAATATCACCACCAGTATACATAAATATTAGTGTAACATACAGGAAGAAGGTAAAGAGTTTGGAGTTAAGAGAACATCTTTTATTTACACTTTATCGTTCACATTAACCAGTTTCGTAACCATCAATATAACTCCTGACGGGTACTATCATCTGCCATCCCAGTCACATTCACTTTCGTTCACTTTTATCAGTGGAAAAGTGTCAAAGGGAGTTTTCAACATTACTCTTTTAAAATATCTCGCACATTATAACAGAGAAATGCCATCTGTTAAATTTTCTGTTTCTTTATTTCGAACGACGTTTCGAAGGGTACAAGGAGGAAATGGATAGTTTATTACTAACAATTTTCAGGTCTTATAGGATTGAATTCATTCGGCATTTTAAGAAAAAATAATTCTGTAAGGTTTTGAATTACTTATTCAGTTCAGACTGGGTTTCGGGCCCGGCATGGCCAGGTGGTTAGGGCGCTCGGCTCGCAATCTGAGGGTCGCGGGTCCGAATCCCCGTCACACCAAGCATGCTCGCCCTTTTAACCGTGCGGGCGTTATAATGTGACGGTCAATCCCACTATTCGTTGGTAAAAGAGTAGCCAAAGAGTTGGCAGTGGGTGGTGATGACTAGCTGCCTTCCCTCTAGTCTTATATTGCTAAATTAGGGACGGCTAGCGCAGATAGCCCTGGTGTAGCTTTGCATGAAATCCGTAACAAACAAACAGACTGGGTTTTGATCATCGATATTCACTCAGTAATAAACGCAAGGAGTGGTGGGCCCTCAGTGGCACAGCGGTATGTCTGCTGACTTACAACGCTAGAATCCGGGTTTTGATACCCGTGGTGGGCAGAGCACAGATAGCCCATTGTGTAGCTTTGTGCTTAATTACAAACAAACAAGTATTGGTGGGTTTACAACTAACACACTGACACGTGTGAACCTTTTGTTAATGTGCTATTATAACACGAAAAAGGATAATGCTAGTTTTGTGTCACTCATGTGCACCCGGTGTAGGTAATGTTTATGTTAATGTGCTAAATAGCACGAAAAAGGATAATGCGAGTTTTGTGTCACTGATGTGCACCCGGTGTAGGTAATGTTTATGTTAATGTGCTAAATAGCACGAAAAAGGATAATGCGAGTTTTGTGTCACTGATGTGCACCCGGTGTAGGTAATGTTTATGTTAATGTGCTAAA